CCAAGGTGCCACAAGTACTCCTCGTTGTTTTTGCTGATACAGACTAACACGGCTACCACTCTGAAACCTGGCACCCTAGGTATGTTATACATAAGTAATATTCAATTCTTTATATTTTATTTTACTTCAATTATTCAGTTAACATTGGGGATTGGGATCCCCCATTAAGTCACAAACAGGTACAGAATGGACAGCTACAGTGCAATTTTCTTCATCTTACCCTGTCAATGTGCTTTATCCCTGACTTGGAGGGAACACCTCAAGTGGTATAGAAGGCTACGTGAAATAAGCCAGGGAGTCCCCATAAACAACTCCCTGCATTACTAACCACAATCACATTTGATCTAAATATTCCTGAAGTTCACTTAAGGCTTGAACCTCATGAAAAACTATTTTCACAACAAACTGGTGTATTGGTTTTAATATGCAAAATTGTTCATACTTTTATATGAATGCAAATTTTATGCATACAGAAAAGCCCATTTAGGGACTGATCCTGCACCATGGAAGTCCATGGGAGTTTGGCACTTCAGTGGGAGCAGAATCAGGGCCTGATGGAGGTCTTGGATATAAAGAAACTCTGTTTATAATGGAATGAAAACCTTACGGCCAAAAACTTTTCAAAAGTGGCCTCTGTATTTGGTCACCTCCGTTTTTGCAAGACCAGCTTCAGACACGTTGAGCCTGATTTTACTGACAACTCACTTCAGTGGAAGTTATGGGCACTGAACATTTCTGAAGATCAGAGCCAATGCATCTCAACTTGGGCTCCCAAAAGCTGAGGCACCCAGGAGTCAGAGGCCATGTTTGAAAAAGCTGACCTCAGTTGTTCTATTGCTTTGCATGTCTGGTTGCAGTAAATCTCTGTTTACAGGGTCCAGGCAAACCCTTTCATTCGGTTGCAGCTCTGCACAGCTCCACAAGCCTGGACAACGGACTGTGTCCTGCGTTCATACAGGCCAGCACGGAAGGGAGCACTGAGGGCAGGCTGAATAAAATCCTGTAACTAGAACACATCCCCTGCCTGAGCTACAACTGCTATTGCAGCTCACGCGTAGGAGCAGCTCCTGCAAAAGGGCTGTGCTGCCCCCAGGATGCCCACATAAGATTCAATTACTCTGGTATTATGCAGGCTTCAGAATTTCAACGGTTGTGAAAATACTGTGCGAAAAAACAAACAACTTCATCATAAGCAACACACATCTCTGTTAAATTCACAGACCGATTAATTTGCTCGACTTGGAGCAGGTTTCTGCCTAATATTCTCACCAAAGCATAATACCCGTGGGACTTTGTATAAATGACAAATTACTTTGTAAGGGGAAAAATGTACAAATGCTATTCCAGCCTCTAGCAGGATTTTTTAACATTGCCTGTTGATTAGCTGAGGGGAGATCAATAAGAGGACAAAAAGCTTATCAAAATGTTTATCGTCAAGCCCTGGGTAAGAGAATACCATAAACAGACGTGGTCGTGCAAGTTAGATCCTTTGTGTCATTCTGGTGGAACAGCAAGTGCCACTTGTAGCTGTAACCCAGCATCAGAGAATACTCTGCCTCCATGTCCTGGGGATTAGGATTGCCTGGGCTCCACTTGGGAGTAAAAGGTTCCTGACTTCTGGTACAAGAAGCAGTCTGTAACCCCATTCAAAGCAGAGTATTTTAGTGTTCTTCTTTTATCCTTTTGGATGTTTTCAATGAAGAAGACTCCCTGAATTTCATCAGCACTCTCTCTCATGGAAATTCTAAATCACCCACTTAAAAATAGACACATCAGATTATCTGGGTAAATCATAAAGCTCAGCTTAGCTCTCTCTTCCCCTTCAAAACATACAATTTATTTTGTCCACCAGCATCAAGCCAAGAGTAATCCTGTAGTCCCAGCAACCTCACTTCCTTGGCTATCTATTATATCCATATATGTGTGCCTGAGATTCTAGGTGAGGGTGTATGAATGCATGCCTTGGTGCATGTGACTATGTTTGTGTTACTGTGTCTGGGGGTGTATGTCTAAGTGTCACGACGCAGCCTGATATGACCAAGGAGAATAACATCAAAAATCAAAAGCAGTAAAGTAGCAAATAATCTAAACAAGGAATAAAGTATCACTAAATATTAATCTAAAATCCCTAAGATCCATTATTGTTCCTCTTAAGAGCAAACATAACTGACCCAGTACTAGAAAGAATAAATCAGTCTTTCCCAGTGGTTCAGATACACAACATAATAGAACCTAAACAGACAATCCTGACTCCTAGCCCCACCGCTTCAAACATGCGCATCTCCCTACTCTCCTCCCCCATTCCCAGTACAGCCCATCAGACCATGGGAGCTGGAGAAAGCCCTGCAGGGCTATAAATAGCCACTCCTGGGAGGGGGCACAGAGGATGGAGGAAGTGCAGCAGCACGTTTCCAAAAATGCTGCAGAGGAAGGCATCACCGGCTTAAGTTCGGGGGGGGGGGAAAGACTGTTAGGAAGTTCAATGACATACTAACTAATCTGCATGGGGAGGAGGAAATGTCTGGAATTGGGAAACTAAACTGGGAATGTCATACACACTGGGAGAAGAAGGGGGTGGAATTTCCATTTCTGGCTTCCCACCCTCTTCCAAGGAGTTTCTCCAGCTCCCCTGAGCTCTGCTATTTGGGGTAGAGGGTTGGGGAGGGTCTCCTGGGGGTAGAGCCTGTGGAAAAAATAAGAATATCAATTCATGGCGATCTCACCAAACAAGTCTAGCTATCTATTCCAAGTCTGTAGTGAGTCAGATGGAATTTATTTATGTTCATTGACTGCACCTCCCGCATGAAGTGTCCCCATCAACGAAGTACTGCTGCTCCTTTTTATTATTACTATTAGACAAAGTCAGAAAGCTTTTCCTTGCCTTTTCACCCAGCAGCCAAATAGCCCTCCCTTAACTCTGACCCCACCTCTGCCCTACATCCCCCCCCCCCCGCCAAACTTTGTGATGTTGGGAACCAACAGGCAGACGGCAACATGCCTTCTCTAAGCACACACGTCCCAACACAGATTATTGAGCATCCAGTGCTTCCCACGAGCCGCTACACAGACCTGATACCCCGAAATACTATTAACACACCAGTCATAGGCACACTCCATGCGTCCAATACGCACCACACAGGCACCGTATGTCTAGCTCACACACTCACTTCCCCAATACAGACACCTCCCCAATACAACTACAGACACACTGCAACACGAACTCACACACACACACACACACACACACACAGACACACACACACACACACTTCCCCAATGCATAAACATACAAACACACACCCCGCATGTCCCACAATGCACACACCGTCCCTGCATCCCAGGTCCAATACACACACTCCAACACACACAAACTAAACTCCCCACACTCTGGACCCCCTAACCCTCCCCCAGGACACACAGCAGCTGCAGCCCCCTCTCCCCCCCGCCGGCTGCTCCCCTCCTTTCCCTGGGACTTACCGTCCTCCAGAGCCGCTGCCTCTTGGCACTGACCGAGGTGGCGGTGACGATGAGGTGGGATACCGCCACCACCAGCCCGAAGACGATGGCTAGCAGGGTCCGCACGGGCAGCAGCGAGTAGGAGACGAAGGTGACCAGCATGAGCTGCCACATGCCCTGCTCGGGGGCGCTGGGGGGCTCCAGGCCGTAGGCGCCCAGCGAGAAGGGGCAGCAGAGGAAGGAGAAGGTGAAGCTGAAGAGCAGGGTGAGCTTGACGATCTGCTGCAGCTGGGTGACCTGCAGGTACTTGACGTTGGTGACGATGAAGAGGGAGAGGAAGATGATGCAGTGCACCGGGTGCGAGCCCTTGGAGATGGTCAGGCTGGGGCCGGAGAGCAGCTCCACCAGGGCCAGGCTGGCGGTCAGCACGATGAGCACGGCCAGCGCCTTGAGGGTGGAGGTCTGCTCCAGCTTCAGGTTGTAGCTCTGGAAGAGGGACTCCAGCTCCTTGCAGTCGAACTCGTCCTCGCAGGCGATGGCATCCAGCAGCAGCAGCGGAGGGGATCCCCCCAGCCCGGCGCCCGCCGCGGCCGGAGGGGAGCAGCAGCAGTGGCAGCACTTCTTCCTCTTGGTCTTGACTTTCTGAAACGGTATTTCCTCCATGTCAGTGCCATTCATAAACCCCGGGGAAGGAATGCTCCTCCTGGCGTCCCCTGCTGCTGCTGCTGCTCCTCTGCCTCTCTGCTCATAGAGAGAGAGAGCGAGCGAGTGGGGCTGCGAGCTGGAGCAGCAGCAGCCGCCAACTAGGAGCCGGCAACCCCCAGCTGCAAAGCCTCCTAGGAGCCGGCAACCAGAGCCAATCTACTAGCAACCAGAAGCAGCCCTAGGGAGGGATCCAGCCACCCCCAGATGCAACCTGGTAGCCAGAGATCGCTGGGATGGCTGCAGGACAGAGTCAAAATCTCAGTTGTGTTATTATGCCAGCCTCTCCCTCCCCCCTCTTTCTGGAGCTCCAGGGATGATAATCTCCTAATGACACCAAAACACCATCCAAAGGTTTGAAATCAAGCAAGGAAAGGGGGGGAGGGAGTAATCAACAGGCAGAACTGGCTTCAGAGAGCCTGGTTAGAGAAGCGGGAGCTGGGGGGGGGATACTGTTTCCTAGGGAGTAGGCGACGTTAAAAACAAGAAGGGGGCCTGGACTAAGCAGAGGAAAAGAGAGAGTTGGGGGGAGGAGAGAGAGGGAAGGAGACACAGACAGGGAAAGAGGGTGATCCCCTTCCTACGTCCAAGAGCATTTCACTGGGGCTCGGGAATGATATGCGCCTGCGCACTGATTGCTTGAGAAGCCAGACACGTCTCCCCAATCGGAGCAGATTGACAAGAAGAAAACACAGATCTGACAACAGGACCACGTTTGAGTCTGCTTTGCAGCCCCCCTCCCCCGCCCGCCTGCTGCCGCCTCCCTCCAGCCATCGGAACACACACATCCAGCCATCGCTTGCCCAGAGTCAGCCCTGCTTTGCTTCACTTCGTGCTTTGATCAGGCTCCGCATTTGTTTTACGTCCCTGCAAACGCAATAGTGTGTGGACCCGCCAGCGGCAGAGGAGGAGAAGTCTAGCCTTCTTGGTACAAGTATAGTAATAATACGAGCCACGAGAAAGATAAAAACTTTACAACTACAGCCTAGTTAGTCTGCAGACATTCTGTCTGATGTGGGAGAAATATAACCCATTACAGTAGGATGGGAAATAGCATCATTTGGTTTTAATGGGATATGTAAAAGAAACATTGCAAGTTTTTGAGTAAAATGTAGAGCTCACCTTAATGCTTGTCTCTGCCACTGCTAGTCAATTATACATTAAATCAGTCCTTAAATCATGAAGAGTGTTACTTTCTTGTGCACCGTTACATATTCTGCGCCAAATTCTGTCCCTGTTTATATTTATGCACTCCTATTGACTTCACAAGCTGTCATTTAGTGCAGAAGTTAGTCTCAGATCTGTATTTAAATTGAAAAAAGTGATATTATGCAAGTGCATGTTTCCGAAATAATTTATATACATGGGGTGTGCCTACTCCCTAGGAAACATTTTTAATCAGTAGCTGTCAATCTCACCACACACACAATTTCCGTAGATAATCAAAATGTATAGATAGGCAAAGTAAGAAAAATGGTTTTGAATTAAGCTTGTTACAAATAAATTAGCAGATGAATTGTAAAAATAGGTATACTTCGTTGATTAAGGATATTGACTTTGTATATGTTGACATGTGATGTTGACAATTGGGTTTTAAATGTTTATAAAACTAACTTTTTGAATGGCAACATCTCCTGTCATTAAATAATTGTCTGGATTTCTTCTCTTAATTTCCCACATCTGTGAAAATTTAAAATCAATAACCATCTAAAAATGCTTACAAATAAATAGACATTATAAAAAAACAATAGATAGATAGATAGATAGATAGATAGATATAAAAATGTTGTGTGTGTGTCCTGCTTCAAAATGTGTGCAGATATTAAAAGAAGTGAAAGGCAACAAAGAACATAGAAAATTATCTTAAAATCTCAAACAACATTTCTGTCAGCACTTCTGACTTTTTCAGGGAATAAATCAGGTCAGTAGCCGGGGGGCAGATATTCTTATTATATGAGTTATTTTCCATTTGACATAGGACTATATTATGCTTCAGCAAGCTTTTTTTTAAACTTTCAGTGCTAACACTACACTACTACACAGTAATACTGCCATGTTATCTCAAATTTTAAACTTCTGTAACCCTTTTACTCAAGTTTGAGGCTATTGACCTGATTCAAAGCTCATGAAGTCCAGGGGAAATACTCCCATCCTCTTCAATGGGCTTTGGATCAGACTTTAAAATGCTTTCCTAATTATTTTCATATAAAGAGCCAGAACAACATTATAAACTACATGCGGATGATATTGTTTTTTGTCTGAAAAAGACCATAGGATTGCTTTAATGATCTTGTGGGTACATTTAAGTCTTGGTGGCCTAATCTCTCTCTCATTGATGTCACTTAAATCTTGATCATCAACTTCAGTGGATGACCCCTAAGTCTGATGGTTTGCATTGCTTTCTTGGTGTTTACATTGTTTTTCAGGATGCTATATATAATTTCTGAAAGGTAAAAATTGCTTTTAAAAGTCTCTGATAAATGTTCTAATGTAGTGTCAAACATAACAGAAAAGAGCAAAACACAAACAAGGTTATCTGTTATATTCCTGTAATCAATGTTATTTAAAAAAATGTCAAGAGTCCAAGTAGCTTTGACAGGTTGGCTGTTTTGTTTAAAAACCTTGGATTTTACCCAAAGTCCTTGATGATCTGAGTTTTAAAGCATGAAAAATAAAATTTATGATATCATGACTACTCTTTGTGTGGTCTACATTTGAGAAAATAGCTACAGTGTTCAAACATTAAACAGATATAACACTGTTTATAAATACTTTGCAACTTGCTTTTCCTGAAAGGAAAAAAAAAACAGCTGAATTTGGATAACTTCTCTTCGCTGCAAAGTGCATCTTTCAAAGATGGAACTATAAAGGTGGTACTGCAAGTCCCGAGGTAATAAAAGATATGCCTAAATTCTATTAACAAGAGTAGTGGTATAAATCAAAAACTTGCTTTAAATTAGTTTGTTAAAACCTGAAAAGCTGTTTTATTTCTTTTACTGTTACAGTTGTATATGGTACCAAAGAGTTAAATCTCTCTTCTACAGAAAGGATAGCTAATTGGTACTCCTCGTGCTGCCTAATAATAGGGAGAGAGAAATTCTTTGGCCAAGAACATCTAACTAAGCTCCTTCTCCTTAAATATCTCATTGCCCCTTTGTTATGTATATGCAGAGCAGACAGGAACTCGATTGTTAAATAAAATAAATGTCTCGGTGTCTAGACTCAGCATAGACAGAGAAAATATACTCTACCACAATAGGGTTGCATTTACTTCTTTTCCCTAAGTCTACAGAATTGAGTATCCCTGCACATCAGGGTGTCTTCAACTTCAACTCTTGTTTCTCATCTAAGCTTTCCAGGACAGCATGATGCTCCTGTGACCTACTGAACTTCTATGTTAATACTAATGAATCATTTCAGCAAGCAGGCAAATACTGGCTGCTTACTTTTCAGCCAACATGATTTATGGCAGGTCAGCTGAATCCTCCTTGCTTTTGACAAATCGTTTACCTCCATCAGTTCCGTATCCACGCTAATGTATCTGTTCTTCATTTTAAAAAATATACACACCTAAGGGCTGTTTAATAAGATAACATGAAGATTATTCAGTGCTATTTACATGAAGAATCCACAGATTGATTACCTGGCTTCACTGGTCTTTTCTATCATTGTTCCTCTTCAGGTGTGTATGTTTTCCTTCTCTGAAGCCGTCTCTCGATACTATTCATTACTTTCCATCATAGTGAATTCATTCTGCTGAACAGCCACCTGAAGACCTCAGATTCCATCCTGGAGTCCTGATTCAGGCAAGATTCCTCACAGACTTCACTGGGGGCGATTTTTATCTCAGTAAGGATTACAAGAGCAGGCCCCTAATGGGCACATTTTCATCTGGAAAATTTCTTGTCTTATTGGAATGAAAAGTACATTCTCAGTAAGATCATCATCATCAAAAACTTCTGTTTCAATTCCTGCTGAAGAAAAAAATATGTCCCTCTATTATGGCAACACCGTGGTGTTTCCTGTTTATAATGATAACGCTAATAATAATGTCACCTGGTTTCAAATCCACTGCAGCACATAATAAACTTTTTTTTTTTGGTAAGTCATTGTGGGCCTAAGCCAAAAGCCCATTGAAGTCAATAAATAAAGAGTCCCACTGATTCAATAAGCTTTGCATCAGGCACTAAGTTACTGACTTCCAAGGGCCAGTTATATGTTTGTATAGCACTTAGTACAACGGGGTCCTGGTCCATGATTAGAGCTCCTAGACACTATAGTAATACAAATAAAATATTAATGCAGATTTACAAATTTTTCCACACAGAAATTTGTTACACCTTTGGGGCTCCAGCTTAGACATATTAATTAAAAAAACACTTTAGTGTGCATGGGGGACAAGAACAGGGACCTGCTCAGCTTCATTTAAATAGATAAAGCCATTGACTTTCCCTACTAGTTACTACTAACATTCTATCACCCATGAGGTAAAAAAGGTCTATTTATTTGTATCTATAACTACAAACATAAATAGAGCATCCACCTAAGAGGGCAAGACTTTGAAAAGTAGCATTAAATTTTTTTTAAACAGAAGATGGTAGATGTTTTCTAGAACTTCAATCCCACCCGCTCTGCAAATACCGGACATCATACCCAGATAGAGGATGTATCCGGTATTTATTGATACTACTTTTGCTCTTTGCCAAAGGCCAAGATTCTATCTATCTTACATCTAACCTATATAATGAGACTCTTCATATAATTCCTGGAACTAGTAACAACTAATTAGGTCAAATTAGCTGCACATATGTTACTGGTTCTATTTTGAGTTTAACCCCTCAAGATGGAGCTACCCTCTTCTTTGAGGTTCAAATGCTGCTTTACTCAGATGATAGTAAAAAGCGCATTGTGTTTCCTATTCCCTTAGTCATACCATTACCCATTTTAAAAACAGATTTCCATTGGTTTTCAATGCTAGGTTCATTCTCTTGTCTTTTACTGTCCCACCCTTCACCCTAAACAAGTTGTATAAATCCTCTTAATGCTATTTAGCTTATGTCTCCATTGTTACTATAAATAAGTGAGCAAGAGCTGCAGCTTAGTGAGGCAATTCTTTTCTTGTCTCATTCTTCCTTATGACTGGTTAAGTGTGAAAATTAAGTAATGAATGTCGTTATGCTCACAAAGCACAAAAGTCTTTTGAGGTAATACAAAGAAGAGTAGCCCTAAAAACAACCCATAATATTGTAACATTTCTTTGGACTGTTCATGACGTAGGATTCAGTGATTTTTTTTTTAAACTCAGAAAAGGGAAATATCTTTTTTTTTTCTTACCAGAGAAGCTGACGCCACAAGAGACGAGACCTGTTACTGAAGTAAAGAATACACTGCTAGAATCTCATCTAATAGATTTCTTTAATGTAAAGAATGCATGCAGAGTCTACACACTGACCGTTCTCTTAAAATAATTTGTGTTCTCATCTTTTTGTTGGACTATCATGACCAAGATCGTCAAACATTGATGACACTGGACACTCAGGCCATTTCTTTAAATGCCTACATATGAGCTTACAAGTCTACTTGTAGACACCCATTTTTAAAAATCTCTGCCAAGGCTCTGAAAGGTGAAGATTTTAAATTCTCTAACCATTGATGCTACTAACCATTCCTCACTTCTCAGAACAGTGACAGAAACCGCACCGGTTTATATATAGCACTTCATGCCGATGAAATGTATTCATTTCTGGAAAAGCTATTGCCATAGTACTTTAACAGTTAATTCCAGAAA